TATAGTCATGTTTGCACTGATGCAGCTTGGGCTGTGTTTTACTCACCCAATTTCCATGTATATATTCAGAAACTAGAAAATGTCCGCTTTTAAATAATGTATCACACATGTACTCACAGTTCCTAAGTTATTTGCTTTTCCATTTGGGTTTGCAAAATAGGTGAGAATTTCTCAAAATGAGGTGGATGTTAAGAGGTCAAATAACATGCTGCTGTCGTTTTTGCACATCTCTGGTTTTGCTGATATTTTCAAATATCCATTTCTGTAAAAATATCCACAGATGTATATTGATTATTTATTCTTCAGTGCACATACTGTAAAAATACTGTAGAGTACAGTATTTTATTTGTCTTTTTTATTTTACTGCGCTCAAAGACCACAATTACCCCATTGTGGGACAAAAGATGGATGTTCTATTCTATTCTCTTCTATTCTAAGACAGCCTCGCTCTGTTGAGGAGGTAGACTCACACCTCATCCTAGAGCTCTATTTAGGTTAAAAAAGGACCATTTAACACTGTCAGGACAGGCGCTTGTAGTATATAACCTTATTTTATCAAGATCAAATGTTTTTTGACAACAGCGGACAGGTTAGGGAGTTCCAAGCTTTTTCTACTCCTAGATAATATTTTATCTAGGAGTGAATATTTTTTCTCTAGAAGGAATAAAGGACAACGGTTCTTCATGGTTTCTTTTGGACAGACGAGACAGAACCAAAGATGTTCAAGAATAAAACATGTAGCAGCTATGATGGATGATGGAGGAGGGCTGAAAAGCTCACAGGAACTTCATTCATTGCAGTGATAAAGACCAGAGTGAACTCCTCCATATGACTTATTATTAAAAGCGAGGCCATCTGTGTGATGGCTACAGTGTCCCAGTTGGATTAGCAGGAGTGATTCAAACAAGGCAGCAAATACACAGCAGAATGGATACAAAAAGGTGTCAGAATGGTCTAGTCAAAGTACGGCACCTTAGTTTAATTCAGATGAAGAGGAAGAAACAACGTCTGCAAACCCCCATGAAAGCGGATTCAATGAATGGATGTTCTTTGGTTTTACATACAGCCTCCCAGTTGGGCTAATCTTCACTATGGGAAACAAAAAGTGTATCTTTGTGCACTTCAGACTGAATGATTGGTCCCAACTAAGTAAAGACCATTTCATTCTCATCGTGAATTACATTATTTTGTTACAATCATCCACATAAGAACATTTCATTGGTTTTACCCCCGAATTTGAATGATCCATCAATTAACTACAAGTTCAGTTCTAGGTAATCCTATGTTCACAATCTACAGGTAAAACATCACAACATGATAAAGGAAGCTCGTCTTTCTTTTTCTTTCTGCACATATAATAAAAGTTTTCTAGAATTGCAGTTCTGTTTTGTGTTTGTTCTACAAACCCATCCTTTACTACAGGATTGTCCTTCAGTCTCACCAGGTTTCCTTGATCAGCCAGAGGCTCCCTGATCACCTCCCTCCTCCAGACCTGATGCTCAGCGGTGGAGTTTAGGGCAGCAGGACCTTGAGATGCTGGAGCCTGAAGCTGAATCCAAACATGTTCAGTGCCAAAAACAAATCCAGATACTTCCTGTTTGAAGCACTTAGTTTGTGTGTCCTTACCTTGAGTTTCAGTGCATTAAAGGTTGTTTTTGAGGAGCAGCTGAGTGGGCCCACAGAGATCACCTCCACAGGGTAGAGCAGAGCGTGGCCACGGGCCCTCAGGGGACATCTCACCTCTAACGTTGTCTGACTAACCACACTGGGGCCATTATTCACCAACTGACAGATGACAGTTTGAACAGAGAATATCTAAACACCTTGAAACAACGTAGCTGGTGGGAAACAGGAGAGTAAAAAAAAAAGAGCCATAACTCACATCTTACCTCGTAAACCTGCTGAAGCTCGGGGCCAACGTCCTGCTCCACCCCTAGAATCGGATGAGCCGTCCAGTTGGGAGGAGGGAAGATGATTTTGTCCGGCCGAGAAACCCTGAGGGAGCCGCAGTCACAGCTTAGCTGCAGTCCTGATCGTTCCCGCCAAATAAAGGAGGGGAGGTAGTGAAGACTCACCCCTGCAGGATCACAGCAGCCTTGGCAGCAACCTGCACCTCCAGCAGCACCTCGTTACTCTCTGAGTTATTGAAGTTTTTACTGCAACGATTAACAGACATATTTGAGCTGAATGGAACAAAGATGTTTGGCAAAGAAGAGTTACTCTAAACCTGCGGCTCTTCAGACGCTCCACAATCGCTCTTCATCACTTTGCATAAAAGTGATGAAGAGCATAACAGATATAATAACAGATATAATAACAATCGTATGTTTTAGCTGTGCTGCTGCCATCAACATCTTTGTTTATAGATGTTGGAGATCGGCCTTTTTTCCAGTGTAATCCTGTTTCTCTGACTGTGACTGGCTGGATCTGTTCTCTTCATCCTCTGACATGGGAGCTGGCTTGGAGCTCGTCTACCTTGCTGTGTGTTTCCTGGACGGGGCCGCCTTTTTATGTTCCCTATTATATCTCTGCTTCTGTCTCCTTGAACCCCAGTCTGCCTCAGCAGATGGCCGCTCACACTGAGCCTGGTTCTGCTGGAGGTTTCTTCCTGTTAAAAGGGAGTTTCGCTACAACCATGCTTAGTATGAGGGATTGCCTTCGAGTCAATGAGTCGATGCAATCAACTGGTTTTCCTTAGATAGAAAACTTGGAATCAATTTAATTGTATGATCTGGTGAACTACAAAGTGCCTTAAGATGACACGAGTTGTGAATTGGCTCTCGAAATAAAATGAATTGAATGTAATTGAATATAGCTTTTTTTAGGGAGGTTAAAGGTTATTTTTTTTAAATAATATTCCACAAATATCAGCAACCCATTGAAAAAAGTATTTTATTTGTTTCTTTAAGTATTTTCATGCATTTTAAAACTACATTTAAAATGGCGCAGTGGTTATTTAACAAGTCTCCTGTGGTAGATATTTAATCACTTAATATGTATCATTTTCTTTCTAAAAAGGTCCAGTAATGTCTGTGGATCTAAGCTATGGAGCTATGTTTATTTGTAAATTCTGAATTGTTTATTGTTCTCACTTTAAGGGATTGAAGGTAGGTGGGAAAATGTTCATTTTTAATTTTGTTGCACTATAATACTGCACAATAATAGTTGCCCAATAATTGTGCAAACATTTGTACTTTCTAACTGTGCAGGGTCAATGATGCTGGATTTGGAAGTGGTCGAAGCTAATTTTTGCAGTTGTCCTTGTAAAGTGCCTTTAGCTGCCATGTTGAGAGAGCCAGGAGCCAGAAACTGTCATCACATTGGAAGCCCCATTTGGGTAAACAAAGTAAACATGAATCCCACCAAATAGTGTCAACCTACCTTCGTATTTGGAGCTGGAACTGGACAACGTTATTCTCATCTGTGAGTCTCGGCACAGTGAATCGAAGGCCGGCCCATAGCTACACACAGAAAGAAAACTTACAAGACAGCCTGGGTTCTTTTTTCAACCTTAGATATTCATCAACAAGCGGAGGAATATCAAAGGCAAACTGAAAACATGCAACTTTGTCCGGTTCTTACACTGGTGCCAGACTTCATGGGGTTTCCCAGATCGCACAAAAGATATCGGGTCTGGTTATGGGCTTCGTAGCTGCATGTTAGCTGAGAAAGACTCTGAGATGACACAGGAAAAAAAAAAAACAACCAATAAAAGTGATTATTCTTTAGATGGTGCTTTAGACACATTTTCACCTGGTTTACAAGCAAAATCAGGCAATCTTGCTGGTTGTTGTGATAAAACCCCAACAATTTATCATTTGCCTCTTGCTTGAGAATGATAACATAGAGATTAAATACAGTTACCCCATTGTTTCGCGCAATACCGCTGTAGTCGGCTTCTGGGGGCAGGACCACGTAGAGCTCCGCCTCATAAGCCCCGCCCTCTCCCTCATTCCTGGCATTGAAGATCAAGCTCAAGGTGTTTTCATCTCCCAGGTAGACTTCTGTTTTATCACTGGAGAGGAGAGAACACCAGTGTCACCAGCGTTCATTGAAACGTCCAACAAGTAGCTAAATGTCAGTTTAAATAGAAAGATACAGCTATTCTAGAAATCACCATGGAGATTACATCTCTATCAGAATAGTTATTGGTAAATACTTCAGCTTCTGAGTTAAGTTCTGGACCTTGGACCAGACCATTCAACCTTAAAGTTGTTCTGTTACAGATTTCCCATTGGGTTTAGGATCATTGTCCTTTTTTTCAATCAGTTTGAGCCAAATTTCAGTTACTGGACAGATGATAGCATTTTGATAAAGCTTTATAATTAGTTTCCCAGGTTATCCTGAGCTATCTCTATAATTATGCTGCTATAGGCTTAGACTGCTGGAGGACATAGGGACCCCTATTTCATCATTCTGCCTCATTCTATCTCTATTCTCCCACTCTGCAGAATCAGTTAGTTCAATCTCTAACATTCTGCTCTCTCTTCTTTTTCTCTCTTCATCTGGTCTGTTCCTGCTTGGCTGTGACTCCATCCTTGAGAGAAATATCCGTTGTGCTGCTGCCATCAACACCTTTATTTCTAGATGTTGGAGATCGGCCTGTTTTCCAGTGTAGTCCTGTTTCCCTCACTGTGACTGGCTAGATGTGCTCTCTTCATCCTCTGACATGGGAGCTGGCTGGGAGCTCGCTTATCTGGCTGTGTGTTTCCTGGACAGGGCCGCCTTTTAGAGTTGCCTTTTGTATCTCTGCTTCTTTCTGTATCTGGTTCTGTCTGTGTCTCTAGTAATGGTAAATGCAGTGGTGGCCGGCTGAGTTTTCTCCAGGGAGGGCAATAAATTCAAACTAGATGTATACCAAACGTATACTAAGTTATCACACTAGTAGATTTATATAAATGCGAACAACAAAAAACATTACAAAATTATAAAAACAAAACATATTTTCATGTACAGGTTTACTTTTTCTACATACATTTTGACCTTCTGAGGCTTTGTGAAGGCAAATCTGTGTTTTGCATGGTCCAATATTGTGTCACAAGCCTAAAAAAATATGTACCGTTTATTAATGGAAAAGCTATTAGTCAGCTTTATACTTTCTTAGTATATAAAACCTATTTATTTTCTGAGAATGTGTTTATTTAAGAGCAACTATGCAAACTAACAGACATCTACAGTACAAAAAGTACACAATATGATATTATTTTCCATGTGGATCCCAGATGTGCCTCATATATCGGAGGCAAAGCCTGGTTCCGTCGTAATCAAGCCTGTTTGTGGCTCAGTTATACCTGGGGCCGTTGGTAAGAAATGAGCCTCGGACACAGCTGTCCACTTCTGTAATACAACCAAGTTTGTCCAGAGAGGTTTGATGCTGGATGTTGTTAGTTCAAAGTTTTATATATAATCATGAGCTGAATTATTCCAAAGCAAACTGAATCTGATCAAAGACAAACTGTATATAACAGCCATAATTAGAGACCAGCCCATTTAACCCCTAGAACCCTACGGACCCACCGGTGGGTCCAGCTGCTACGTGACCTCGTAATTTTAACAAACCCCCAGTATTGATGTAAAAAACACATTTGGCACAGTTTGGTGACATTTATGGATAAATGGATATTTGGATAAATTTCT